TTATTAATGCATTCTTTGATGAATCCTTGGGCTAAATGTTCTCAAGGTAGTTTAGGTTGCTTGAGGAATGATTTAATATAATTTTCAATATCCACATAAAAGACTTTTATGAAATTTGGTAATTAGATAAGTTGAATAAGTTTGGTAAACAAATTTATCTTGGTTAAGAGCATGCAAGTAAAGCTTGGTCAAATTAGATGTGGCCTAAGAACTTCAAACATCGTGGAGAAGGTTTAGTGAAACTTAAACATGTGATCTAGATTTAAGTGTGAATTTGAGTGGTTTAGATTGAACAAATAGGGTCAAAACCCAAACTAGGTCAATAAAACCTAATTTTAATCAAATGGTGTTGTCTTAGGTTTTAATTTTTCAAAAGAGATGATGTGATTTAACCAGTTTGAGCAAAAAAATTAATAATGTAAGGTTTGAGAAAAAAAAAACTAAAAAAAACTTGGAGCAGAACAAATTTTGCAAAATAAATAAATAAATAAGTAAAAATACAAAGGGAGATTACTTGGCCAACAAAAACCAATCTTTAAGAGTAAGATTTGTTTGGACGCACAATTACAATTTTTATTTAAAAGATATTTAATTGCTTAAACAAAAAGGACTCAAAACCAAATATATTTTCCTACCTAAATTAACTTTAACTTTGTAATGGTGGATGTAGTTCCCATGTTTCAAGCAAGACTTTACCCCATCTATACCTTATATTTTAAGTGGATTTTTGAAGAGGATTAGCCTTATTAATGGGATTTATATGATATAATTTGATTGACTTGCCATTATATTTTAATGTTTAAATATTTTATGCCATAATGTATAACATTCTTATCAATAACCAAGATCTTCCACAAAGAATATATGCTACATCCCTTTGGAGTATATTACATCATATATGGTCCCTATAACTCTCCATTTTAATAGACACCTTACACATATGAGTGATTAGAGGGATGTATTGTTCACTTAACTCATAAAAAATATTTTTAGAAGATATTTGACTTTTAGTTTAGCCATTATAATTGCATTTGTGGATATAACATTCACTAAACTAGTCTTATTCCTCACTATCAGACATCCATCCTTGCATGTAACATAAATAAAAAAAAAAATTATACTTCTCTAACCTTATAATTTATTTTTTTTCATAGCTAGATATCTTAATATACTAGCATGATGTTCAGTTAATATCTCCAAAATCTTGATAAAAATGTGGTTGATCATTGTTAATCTCTTTTATATCCTCATCCTCCTGATAATCCCCCTTTATTAAAATAAGATTTTAACTTTACACTGATATTGCATATGCCTCTCTTCTCATGACATTCAAAATATATAATCTTTACATTCTTTTTAGATATGAAATCATCAATAGCATTATTTTTCAGTGCAATAAATGTGGGAGGATTAGGCCTCATAGTAGACCATTAAGTAAAATAAATTGTAGTTTACGTTCTACTCCTGATAATAAATACATATTTCTTTTACTTTTTTAAGAGGAGAGTATTAAAACAAAACATCTTCAAAGGTTTAAACTCCTATAATCCTATCTCACTTCTATTTTTTATCATAAGTTTTATAATAATTTTTTTAACAAGTTATTAATCATTATCCTTATAATGTGTGATAACCACTAAGTGCTAAAAAGGTTTAAGTACTCTATCATTTGCATTTTCATTTGTATAAGAATCATTAATTATCTATTAAGTTTCTTTATAATAATGTTTATGGTAGTATTTTAATCTTAAAATTTATTAAAATTGTATCCAAGTGATGACCCCTCCCCAAACTTTCTTCCTTTGCCAAATAATTTACCAATAAAGTTTTATACGGCTAGTGTTTCATTTTATCAAATGTCAATATCTAATAATGATCCATTTGATGCAAGAAAAAAAAATCATCTATTTGAATAAGGAAATCCAAAAAATTATTAAGGTCATGAACCCGATTAAATGTTTGTGCCCATACTTCAACTTTTTGCAAGATTATTAAAACCATTAACATTTTTTTATTGATTTTCTTTCATAATGTTAGTATTATTCCATTGGTTGGCTTTAATATAATGGATCTCTTATGATTTTAAAAGATATTAGTTAAGGAGAAGCTAAAGTTTGGATTCCTAACTTACAAGTTACTGGGTTGATTTGTGGCATCATTGTTTCTAGCAATGCTTGCATTTCTGTATTATTTTTATCTAATAAATTTTACATTATTTCTAACTTATCATTATAATTACTTTTTATAAAATTTAGTCATCTATCATTTTGTTCAAGTACTTAAATTACTTCATACATGCTGATTTGGGTGGCATGATGTGTGGGAAAGTATTTTGTATATGTAATATAAGTATGTAAACATCATAGCTCTGAAATCAATTTAATGAAGCCTTGGGTTTAAATGTTCTCCAAGGATTATGAGTTGTTGGAGGGATGGAATTATAAGGCAATTTTGATATAGGATAAGTTGAATAAGATTGAAAAAATGCACAAAATCTTACTGGTCAAGAGCTTGCAAAAAGAACTTGGTTAAATAAAGTTTTGCAAGTGAGGTGGCCAGAGAGCTTCGAACCATTTCGAAATGATTGATGGATATTTAAAAATGTGATTTTTAATTAAGTGTGAATTCAGAGGCTTTAGATTTCTATAGTGTGATAAGGTCTCAAATTAGGTAAATTAAATATAATTTTGGCCAAATGGCATCACCTTAGATTTTCTTTGTTTTTTTCTAAATAATGATGAATTTCATTCATGAAAGAGGAATGTAAAGAAGCATCAAAGAAGAGTTAAGTCTAACATACTCTAGGGAAGAAGTCTCCAAAAAAATTTTCACACTAAACAAGATTCTCTCAATAATTGAACTCTACGAGTGAGAATTGGAAGAAGTCTCCAAAAAAATTTTCACACTAAACAAGCTCTCAATAATCGAACTCTACGAGTGAGAATTTTCTAGATGTTCAAGTTATCATTAATCATTCTCAGAAAAATAATCCACATCTAAATTCATTTTCCTGCATGAATTAAATTTGAATTTAAAATAGAAAGGATAGTTCCCTTATTTCAATATGGTGGTTACCTCATTTATACTGGAGTGGTTAGCATCTATATTTGAGAGGAGTGGAGTGAAGTGATACTTCTGTTGGAGGACTTATAATATTGACTTCTAAATGAACACTCTTTAACCTATGAAACCACTTATATTAATCTCCAAATCATTCCACCACCAAATGCACGTCAAATAATTGGCAAAAATAGACAATCTTAATTATTTCTTCTTTGTTTGCTCCAATGTCTCTTCTTATTTTATAACATTCTTGAAAATCAGATGAACACCCTTGCATAACGTTATAGCACAAAAAACAATTATAAATATTCAACACGTCAACTAAAAATATGATGATGCCCCTAGAATGTGCGCGTAAATATATGTATAATTACTTCAATTTCAATCTCCTGTGGTAGCACCAAATACTTGTTTTGACCCGCAATTACGTAGATATTTAAGTCCATGGCAAAAAAAATTGACCCTATTTAATTATGTTGGCTAATGTGCAAAACAAATATGTTTTAGAATTTTAGAATTTAATTTACAGTTCACACAATACGGGTATTAAGAAAGTGCATGTATTGTTACAAGTAGTATAGGGTTTTCTTTTAGGACCAAAGTGTCGATCCCACAGAGAAGTGAGGTAAGAATCCCTTAGGCTAATTCTAGTCTACTACTATCAGGTTTTAGGTTTGGAATAACGATTAAGGGTTCTTATCCAATAACTACTCCTAAATATAAACCTAACTAGAGAAATTGGATTGGAGAATTTTGAGAAGTTAAAAACTACCTTTCTAAGGTGACGCCCTAAATAAAATGTAGGAATGAAATGCTTAGAATTTAATATTGTCAGTGACAAATAGGAGTATAACTATTCGGAATGAAATGCTTAGAATTTAATGTTGTCAGTGACAAATAGGAGTATAACTATTATTTACCCTCTCCCGAGCGCATAAAGAACATTAATTAATCCAAAGTAATTTCTCTGTTGTATAGTAGTGCAGAGTAGATTCTAGTCTCTCTCTTCTATATTCCCTATTGTGCCCTCTCTATAGGACCTACCAGGGACTTCATGTTCCAACTCTATACCAAATTGGTAAAGGATCTAGCCTGCTACACTAGAAACACCAATTCTACGCCCATCCAAACATATCTCCCTATCTATTTGCACTCTCCTTAGATTGTGATTGTCATCCTCATAAGGTTAGTGTGGTACTCCATAGTTGGGTGAAATCATAGCCCTCCTGGATCATTAAGTTTTGCATTGGATTTTAACATTACAAGTAATCAATTTACAAAGTAAATTAAGAACTAGTGAAGATATTATTACATTAATGAAATAAGAGTAGCTCTAAGAAAATCTAAATTCCTAAACATGCATCTATTTCATTGCAAAAAAAAGTAAAATGAAGATGATGGGATAAGCAGTAAAAGAATTGATATAATTATATAATAAATTATTTGTCAATAAGGAACATATGTCTACCTACCATCTTCTGAGTGTATAGGTACGCTTAGTATCCTATTAGTTTTATACAATCATCTGTCACCTAGAAGCTCTAAATAGAAACAGATGATTAAATTATATTTTCTTAAAAGTTACATTATCGATTAAACTTCTTCAACATAGCCAACTAGTCAATGTAATCACTGCTCTCTCGAGTCTTAGTTTCACTTACAAAAGATTTTACCATAGCCTATTGTCACTTAAGTTATATCAATGAAGCAAATGAGATATTACTCATCACATGGAAATCAAAATTATTCTATCATAAAATAAATTTTCCTGCACATGCCACTACTTCATATTAAAAGAAAAGAGTAAAGAAAACCACATCATGAAATATTGATAAAACACAATAGAAAACTTCACTAAATCAAAGCAAATCCACTAGAATGTGTTTACAATAATTACAAGATAATGAAGAACATAATACCTACTTTTTTTTCTCTGAAAGAAAGATGAAAATCCCTCCAAAAAAAGTCTCTTAACGATCCATGCAATGCTCAAACATTTCCTTACACATATCTCACAAAATCTCTCACCAATCTCTCTAGAAAAGATAGAAGTCTACATTCCTACTCCTATCTACGACTTCTGGACGATCTTAGAGTTTCCAAGACTTTTAAATGCCAAAAGGTGCCTTCACAAGTGAATAAAATTGACTTTTAACACCAAAAATTGAGCAAAAACCATCTGGAACAGTTACTGGCGCCTAGGAGTCTGATTCGGGTGTCTGGGCGCCAGTTCGGGCACCTGGACTCCAAATTAGGCTCCTTGGCGCCCTTTTTTTTTGTTTCATTCCAATTTTCTCCAACAAAATGTGTTAGATCATAATTTTCTTTCCTGCTAAAAAATTGCACTATTTTTGCTCTAATTTTGCTTCAATAAAATGTGTTAGATCAGAATTTTCTTTCTTGCTCGAAAATTGTACTATTTTTGCTCCATTTTCTCCAAAACTCTGTCTTTCGCCCCTACAATAAAAAAAAACAAAATATATTTCATTAAAGCGCAATATCATAAAAAAATGAGCATGAAATGTATATATGAAGTAAGTAATTTTAAGGCGTATCAATTCCTCAATCTTAAATGTTACTTGTCCTCAAGTAACACTATATTTTTAAAAACCAAAATTGTTGATTTGAGGTAGTGGGTTTCAGTTGAGTTTCCTATAATTTTATCTCATAAAGGTTATAGTGTAGCTTAAGGTGAAATTCTACAAATCAATCTAGTACTACGGTGTAAGAATATCTCATATTCAAATTAGAAATACTGATTTTCTATTTACTTCAAAAGTTATTGAATCTTATCAAACTAAAGATTCTTAAAAAGTTTAAAAATAGAATTTAAGCACCCTATCTATACCACTTTGACTAATACTTTGCTGAAATAAGAATAAGCTTAGGATCGTTTCTAAGTCTTTTCATTTAAAAAAATTCAAGTGAAACCATTTTTTTGTTAGACTTCTCCTCAAGCTTCTCATTTTTCATTCTTTTAACTTTTTCTCTCTTTCTCTTTTCCTCTTTTTTATTTTATTTCAGGATCATTTCCAATATTTTCTTTTCTTTTCTTTTTCATGTGAGGATTATTATAGTTGGATAGTCCTTTAATGATTTTGAATTTCACCATCCTCTTTCTAAAGTTCAAAACTCAAAACTTTCTCCCACATTTTAAAAGTGTAAGTATTAGTTTGAAAAAAGTTTAAATAAAGACTTAATTCTCATAAAGTAGAACTATAAGTAGAAATATAAAGATCTTAGCTTTTCAAATATTCAACTCCTTTCTACCATAAATAGCAAAATCATTTTTCTAATGTTTTCTATAAAATATCTTAACTCTAGAAGAGTTTCTTCACATAAAATCCCAACTAAGTTTTTTCTAACATTCCTAAAATCAAAATTATAATAACCTAAAGATAACACCACATACAACAAGTTATTTTTAAAGTGATACCAAAATAAATGCAGGCTACTGAGAACAGCTAAAGTTAAGTTCTAAAAATATATTTCTTCCCCCCAAAACTTGATTTTTAACATGTATAACATTCAATATATAAAATATAAGCGGTTAACATGTATAACATTCAATACATAAAATATAAGCGAGAAGAAAAAAAAATAGTTCAAAAATTCTTTGTATCACAATATGTATCAAAAACATCTACAAGTATACATCAGGATAAAAAAATTTGCAACAAAAAGTAAATATTAACTAAACATGTTAGAATGAAATTGAACTAAAGTTTAACTAGCATAACATGTATCAGCATTGGAAAAATATTTTTAAGTGTTCCGCAAATCCTTTATATTATTGTAACACAAAACACAAATACACATGATAAATGAGATCAACTCATCCATTAACTCATCGCATCTCACTACCTTACTTCCAATTTCAAAAGGAATTACCACACAAATAAATTTGGTACTTTTAAATGTTTTTACAAAGTCTAATCCCATGGACACAATTATCCCTGATATATCAGCTCGAGAGACCTCTAATAGTTATACGGATAGTGAAAGATAATCCACATGTTGCTCATCAAGTAGGTTCATGAACCCACCAAATGAAAGCATGGTCAGAGAAGGAAGTAACAAAATTGAGATGGAACTGCCAATGTCCAAACATCAATATGTCTCCTATAAAACTCGAGTCTCGTTGAAACTCGAATCATAGTAGACTCGTTAATCCAATTACTAAAAGAGAACATATACAAGTCCAACCATAATAAAAAGTTAAGTAATCATCTCCCTCGTGATACATAAAGATCAAATCAATCCACAAACAATCCAAACATCCATCAAAATCAATCAAACTGATCTACCCACAATGACACACAAAGATCAAATCGAATCACTAACAATCCAAACATCCACCAATATCCATCAATATAATCAATCCACACTAAACCAAATACAACACAATCACAAACACACTAACACAGATAACCATAAGTGCCTCCCACGAAACACTAGGTTTAACGTCGTCAGCCGAATGAATCCCAAGGTTATACATATTTCAATTGCTCGTCAATTTCCTCCTTTACGATTTTCTAATCCTCCTAAAAGTTTTCCCTAAATCCAAGTCAAACGATTCAAGGTCTGCAACTCCAGAACTACGCATTCAAATCTAAAAACTTAAATATAAAAAGACTCGTAATAACAAAACACACTAAATAATAATACAATAATTTTCAAATCTAAGTCATACAGGTTCAACTAAAATTCTCCTAAAATTTTTACCGTAGCCTCCCCAACAACAGCGCTAAAAACTTGATGCCCCCTAAAATGTGCACGTAATATATGTATAATTACTTCAATTTCAATCTACTGCGTCGACAACAAATACTTGATCTTTTAATATTTAAGTTCATGGCAAAAAATTTGACCCAATTTAATTAGACAGCTAATGTGCCAAACGATTATGTTGTAGAATTTTAGAATTTAATTTATAGTTCACACACTAGGGGTAATATGTTGTAGAATTTTAGAATTTAATTTATAGTTCACACACGAGGGGTAATATGTAAGTACATGTATCGTTATAAGTAGTATAGGGGTTTCTTTTAAGACTAGAGTGTCCATCCTATAGATAAGTGATGTAACAATCCCTCAGACTAATTCTAGTCTACTACTGTCAGACCTTAAGTTTGGAATGACGATTAAGGGTGTTTATCTTATAACGACTCCTGAATAAAAACCTAAACCTAAAGATAAACCTAACTAGAGAAATTGTTTGGAGATTTTTGAGAAGTTAAAAACTACCTTTCTCAAGCGACGTCCTAGATAAAATGTAGGAATGAATTAATGTTTTCAGTGACAAATAGGAGCATACCTATTTTTTACTCTCTCCCGGGCGCATAAAGAACATTAGCTAATCCAAATTAATATTTATATTGTATGGTAAGCATAAAGAACATTAGCTAATCCAAATTAATATTTATGTTGTATGGTAAGGCTAAGTAGAATCTAGCCTCTCACTTCTAGATTACCCAATGTGACATCTCTATAAGACTTACCAGAGATTTCAGGTTCCAACTCTAGACCTAATTGGTAAAGGATATAGCCCGTCACTCTAGAAACACCAATTCTACGCTCATCAAAACTTATATTTCTATCTATTCGCACTCTCCTGAGATTGTGGTCTCCCTCCTCGTTAGGTTAGTGTGATACTCACTAGTGTGAAATCATAGTCCTCCCGGGTCATTATGTTTCGCAACGGATTTTAATATTACAAGTGATCAGTTTGCAAAGTAATTAAGAACTAGTGAAGATACCATCATATTAATGAAATAAGAGTAGATCTAAGCAAAGCTAAATTCCTAAACATGCATCTATTTTATTGCAAAAGAAAAGTAAAATGAAGATGATGACATACGCAGTAAAAGAATTGATATAATTATATAATAAATTATGTGTCAACAAGGAACGCATGTCTACCTACTCTCTTCCGAGTGTATATATACACTTAGTGTTCTATTAGTTTTATGCAACTATCTGTCATTTAGAAGCTCCAAATAAAATCAGATCATTAAATTATAATTTCTTAAAAATTGCATTGCCACCCAAACTACTTCAACATAGCCAACCAGTCAATATGAGTGCACTCAAGTTGCGAGATCACTACTCTCTCGAGTCTTAGTTTCACTTACAACAGATTTTAACATAAATTACTGTCACTTAAGTTATGTCAATGAAGCAAAAGAGATATTACTCATCATATAGAAATAAAAATCATTCTATCATGAAACAAATTTTAAAATAAATTTTCCTACACGAAATAAAAAACATTCAATCATAAAATAAATTTTCCTACACATGTCACTACTTCATATAAAAAGAAAAGAGTAAAGAAAATCAGATCACGAAGCATCGATAAAACTCAATAGAAAACTTCACTAAATAAAAGCAAAATCCACTAGAAAGTATTTACAACAATTATAAGATAGTGAAGTGCACAATACTTAGTTTTTTCCCCTCTGAAAAAAAGATCAAAATCTCTCCAACAAAGTCGCATCCCGATCCACGCAATGCTTGGACATTTCCTTATACATTTTTCTCAAAATCTCTTACCAATCTCTCCAAAAAAGGTAGAAATCTACCTTCCTACTCCTATCTACGACCTTTGGACATTCTTGGAGTTTCCAAGACTTAAAAATGTCAAAAGGTGCCTACTCAAGTGAAAATAAATCGACTTTAACTCCAAAAATTGAGCAAAAAATGTCTAGACCGGTTATTGGCGCTTGAGCGCCGGTTCGGGTGCGTAGGCACCGTTTTTTTTTTCATTCTGTTTTTGCTCTAATTTTTTGCTTCAACAAAATGTGTCAGATCATAATTTTCTTCCTTTCTTGAAAATTGCACCATTTTTTCTCCATTTTCTCCATGCAACAAAATACATGTAAAATACATTTCATTAAAGCTCAATATCATAAGAAATGAGAATGAAATGTATATATAAAATATATAATTTTAAGGCATGTCATACGAAAAACTTGACAAGCAAAATTATCCCTCCAAGTCATACATATAATAATTAACTTATGGTACACTATAGTTCCTCAATGTATATATAAAATATATAATTTTAAGGCATGTCATACGAAAAACTTGCAAGTTGTAGAATCATCCCATATAATTTACAATTAAATAAAGACTTGACAAGCAAAATTATCCCTCAAAGTCATACATATAATAATTGACTTATGGTACACTATATTTCCTCCCTCCCAATCCTCATTTTTGTAAGGTTTGAATATCAACAACACAATAACAATAACAATAAGCCCTCGTCCCACTAAGTGAGGTCAGCTAAAAAAATCCTTTTTTTTGCATTGTGTCCTATTGAGTATCATATTTTCATTTATTTCTAATAAATTAAGATCATTTTTTATACATGTCCAAGTCTTTTTACGTCTACCTCTATGTTTTTTAACATAAGTCAAATCTAAAGCATCTACTCTCTTAACTGGATTATCAGGTGATCGATGTTTAATGTGACCAAACCATCTAAGACGACTCTCTTTAATCTTGTTTACCGCTAGAGCTACACCAACCCTTTCACGGACACATTCGTTTAACATTTTGTCTCTAAGTGTGAAGCTACTCATCCACCCAAGCATTATCATCTCAGTAACGTCTCTAAGTGTGAAGCTACTCATCCACCCAAGCATTCTCATCTCAGTAACGCTTAACTTGGTTTTATGTTTCTCTTTTAAAGGCCAACATTCTACGCCATAAAACATTAGAAGTCTCACCACCATCTTATAAAATTTTCCTTTAAGTCTAAGAGGTACTTTTCTACCACACAATAGTCTCGATGCATTCCTTCACTTCATCCATCCAAGTTGAATTTTACTAATAACATCCCCATCAATATCACTCTCACTTCATACAATAAACACAAGTTATCTAAAACATTCACACTTTTTATGATTTGATCACCTATTAATACAACTCTACCATTAGATCTACCACTAGTAAAATTATATTCTAGGTACTCAGTTTTAGATCTACTCAAACGAAGGCCTTTAGACTCTAATGTAGAACTCCATAATTCAAGTTTTTTTTTGAACTCTTTCTCTAGTCATATCCCTAAGAAAGATATCATCAGCAAAAAGCATACACCAGGATAAATCCTCCTGTAAATGTCCAGTAAGAGCATCCAAAACTAAAGCAAAAAATATGGGCTTAAAGCCAATCCTTGATGTAAATCAACTGAAATAGAAAAATATTTGGTCAATACTAATATTTGAAAACAAGTAACAACTCTAGTATGCATATCTTTAATGACTTGAATATAAATTACATCAACACTTTCTTTTCTAGAACTCTCCAAAGAACGTATCTTGGAACCCTATAGCTTTTTCAAACACAAGGCTTGAATATCACGAAAAAAAAGTAGATTCAACTATTTTATGTTCTTTTAAAGGGATCTACATACATACCATATAATTATTATATAATTGCATATAAAATATCTAATTTTTTATATTTATTTATACGTAGATAAATAAGAATTGAGTGGTAAGTATGTATATCCCCTTTTTTTCTATTCCAAAGTTTCATTGAGCCAAAAAAACATATTAAATTATAGCTATATCCGACGAAATAGTTAAATTTAGAATAGGCAAAATTTTCAAAACAAATTATGTAACTTTAAACAACCAAATGAGCCATACTAAAATTACATGGACCAAAAGGCCATACCCACAAACATGCATGAATTGATCATATATATATACTCTAAATGATTTCTTATCAAATACTCTCCAAACTATTAGCATGTGGCCATCCCTAAACTACATAGAAATGATCCCAGATAGTCCTTTGGGTTGAAAGGATGAAAATCGGGACACAAATGATCCCAACTTAGGACCTAAGAGATTATTTGGGATCAATTTTATCTAGTGGATGAACTAAATTGAAGAAATATGACATTAAGAGACTAAACTGACCACATGATTAATTAAGGATTGTATCGATCATGAAACAGCGTATTTCTTTCTCAACAAATGTGTGCAAGAGAGTAAGATCAGCAACAAGTTCATGTCAGACAATACCGTAAATAGATTACGAAGGCAGGATGATAATTGAGTTTTTTTTTTCTGCAAACTTTGCTTGATAAAAGCGGCAAACGTAACAGCTTTCAACAAATGAATATTCCGAATGAAATCTGGAGAGAGGAAAGGTGCGGTAAAAACAAAGGAATCGTTACAGGTTGCACTGACATAACCGGACTTCAATACAGAGATTTCGATGACTAGATCAACCATACCATTCTAAATCAGCATCTTATTCTGCTCATAAAATCATATTAAACAAAAACAAATAGTAGATGCTAACCATTATAATCTTCCACATGTGATAGAATGCAAGGTGCAGTGGTCGAAGGTGAACTTGACGATTTTTCAAGTAGTTCTCTCTGTTTCTGATCTGCCAAGCAAAGGATGGCATTCATACATACCTCAAGAGCAGATGGGGGTGGAGCTGGCTTAAAATCTTGCAGTTTTGAATACTCCATGATAAGGTGAAACATATAGTCATACACCCGATCCATGCTCAGGTCCTCCATTAATCTCTGCCCCTTTATTCCTATAGCCTCAGCCTGTATACCAAGAGACTACTATATCAATGTAAGAAACAAATAATCTTGAAGTTCAAATATATGATGTATTTTTATATGAATGATGGTTTCCAACAAGTCTCTATGAGGAAAAATTAAAATAACCATTCGAGAGAAGTGGTGTAGCATGAAAAACATCATTTGAGATGTCACTAGAGAGCAGCGTGAAAATTAAAATACAAAAAAACGTATAAAATGAGAGCATACAATAGATGGATGATTGTTTCCCCAGTCCACTGCAGACATTATAGAGGGACATAAGCTCGTGCAATTGATGGGTATATAGTTCTCACTAGCAATGAGGCCGCGGCTGAAGAAGTCCTCATACTGCGGATCTATAATCAGTGAAACAGATCCACAAGAAAGAATGTACTTCAGACTCACTGACCATGCAAAACCTTCGGCGTAGATTTCGTAACTGCAGAAATAGGGTGAGTGGTTAAATATTAATGCTTCCTGAAGATTATAATGTCTTAGATGGCCATGGAAAAAGAGATTAAAGTCTCCCACCGGTGCTTGCACTGGTCTGAAAGTTTGGAATTTTTAAAGCCAGAGTTCGATTCTTTTACCCAGTCCTGCAATGCATCACAATCCACAGCACAATAACATCACAATATTTCAGAGACTTAAATTTTTGTATAAAAATTTATTTCTGGAGGAAAATATTTAGAACTTATTCACGAACTTGATGCATGATTTGGGCTTTCCATTGCTTAGTGTCATTGCACTTCAGTAATTCCATCCGTATTTGTGATTGAACATCTGGATTACCCTTCCAATATGCTATGTCTTCTTTCATCTTCCATGGAAGCACTTGAGACCCATGCTTGATCTCTCTGAACTGTTCATCCCATGGTTTGATATTAACCTCAGACCTGTTAAGAAAAATAAATCCGAAGATCACCCACATAAGGCGCAGTTTAGCTGCAAGTAGGATATTGTAATCCTGCTTTAGTAAATGATAATTAGCACAAAATAAGATTTTATACAACCATTAATTAAAAATCTACAAATCTAATTAAATAGAAACTTTCTATTTAACAAAATAAACTATCTTTTTAGTTTATTTTTAAAATTATTTTTGAAATTTATAATTCTAAAATTATTACAACCTAAGTACTAACTGTACACTTGTCTTTCTCCACCTTCGCTTCCTAACCCAAAACACTCCATGAAAAATCTTTCTCCACCTTCGCTTCCTAACCCAAAACACTCATGAAGCAAGCAAGTCGCAATGGGAGCTTGTTGAAGGGTTATAGACAAGATCGTAAAAGTGTGACTATCTTCTGCTGCTATCAAAAACCCTCTGAAAAAGAAGTGAAGATGTGACGACAGGAACTCATTGGCGAAGGCATCAACAAGATGGCGGCGTTGTGATAAGGGTGAACAATTTATTTCTATTTATCTAATTCCCTTACATTCTCCAAACTACAACATTTAGAAATATTGGGATTTGAAAAAAATATATGATTTATTTTTATTTTTCAGATCATTTGTTAAGATTTATCATAAATCCCACATAAACTTCGCTTCATTCCAGCAACCAAACAACCTCTAAAGATCACTGACCATTAATCATAAACCACATACAATAAATTCATGTTGAAAAATAAAACAAAAACAATTGTGTATTTTTCATGGAGCATCTAGAAAATTCTAATACGAAGATATCTGGTGATGGTAGAAAGCAATTGAAAATTGTATTAAATTGAACCTAGCTAACCCTTCATGAACTAGCATGAACAGGCAGAGCCTTCCCACTTGGAACAAACCAAGTTTAAGAGAACAATTTCAATATAAACGTGACAGTTTATTCTTCCAACTTCAGAAAAATTTTTATCAAAGTGGCATCCGTGTAAAGACTGTAAGTGATGGCAAAGGACATGAACCTATAGGTCACGTGTGTCACAAAGGAGAACTTCGAAAATTGACAACTCCAAATAAAGATATCGTTTGGATCCTAATATATTTGGCTATTAGTTGAAAAATCTGACATAGAGTCTCAAGATGAAGCAATATTATCAAAAACCAAATGGACTCCCTGAAAGAAATTACAAAGAAGGACAAAAAGACGCTCTTTTTTATCTGCCAAGGTTTTTGTGAAGATGATTTTGACTCATCAAAGCATTTACTCTAACCAATTATGGAAGATACTTCGAAGGACATGCAAAGAAATAGATGAAGAAAAAAAGATTAGGCTTCAAATACTTTGGTGTGAGTATGAAGCACTACAAATGGTGGGTGGACAATGAAGTAGACTATATACAACATTATTGAATATGATAAATCAAATATGAAGGTTCGAAGAAAGTTTAGAGAATATTCAAATCATAGAAAAAAAAATACTACTTTCCATCAATGACAATTTTAAGCATAATGCATTACAATTAGATGAAAGGACTAGCCCATATTCATTGATAAGCTTACGGGCTCTCTAACGACAAGTGAGAAAAGAAAAAATAAGCAAAGCAATATATCATTAAGCAAGGCTTCCAAACAAATATGACATTGAAGAATGATAAGGAAGACTAGGAAGAAGAGAATAACTCAAGTGCTCATGGCCATGAACATTGTTATGGCTATGGAAGAGGCCGAGGAGATGATAGTGGCCCAGAAAAAATTGAAAGAAATGCAGAAGAAAGTTATATTTCAAGCAATTGAGCTGGAAAAAAAACTTACAGTTGTTGTTAAGCATGCAATAAAATTGGTTATTATATTTTGATAGGTTATCATTATAAAATATTTAAAGAAAGAGCTAATTTGGTTGAGAATAAAGAAGAAGAACATTTATTGTCGTGGGCTTTTAAAGCAGAAGAAGATGAAAAATAAACTAATCTTTATGTATGCCAAATCTAGTAGTCATATGTGTGGCCATCTAAGTGTTCATGCAAATAGAGAAAATAAAGACAATTTTACTTTGGTTACTCCTCAAAGTTCCAATGAATGAAATTCAAAATCCAAGCCCTTTTTAAAAATAGAAGTCATTCTTATATATATATATATATATATATATTTGTTTGTTTGTTTTTTCAAAATAAAATATTCATTGATGGAAAGAAGATACAAAGGTTTTAGTGAGTGGATGCTAAGAACCCACTCAGAAGGCATACAAGATTAATTACAAGTATACCAAAAAAAATAGACTGGACAATCTTCCAAAAAAAAAAAAAACATAAAATGGTCTGAGGGCTTCTTGGGAGGTGGCGTCATGTTTGGGGTATCCAAAATTACAGCCACTGTTGCGATAACACGAACTTGGATCGGAATACTACCAGCATAAACCCAGAAACACTTCTAAATACAACCGCAATACTGCCAAAAAAACCCCGCAGTAAGGCCAAGATAACACAACACATACACTGAGATGTTGTGAACACGCCGAGGAAAGCATCGTAGAGGCACCTTGAGGAATAACATGTATCCTATCTTCCACTGCGCATCATAACACTAATAACACTCGCAACAATATGGCTTCAACACCGCGGGATACTACCGCTGATAACCCCAAATGGTGCCGCACTTTGATAAAGAGAATAACACTGTCGGGACACGGGAGACAATAACGTCATAGATAACATCTTTAATAAAACGCGGGATATAGTTGCCGCTACTACCGCCATAAAGCCTGGAAGACAATAACGTCATAGATAACATCTTTAATAAAACATGGGATATAGTCGCCGCTACTACCGTCGATGCCACCACCTATAACACCGTGCCGCAGTAGACGAATGAAATAAATCCGTGAATAACACCAAACGGTAAACCAACCCAAGCAACAATAAAGCCGCAAATAACACCCGCGGAAAAACAGCAGAAACTTGAAAATAATTCTGTGACTAATACAATGGATAACACCGAAAGTACAATCGTGAAAATCCCTTCCGAAGAGCCAGCATGTAGATATTGAGAGAGTATGTGGAGATCGTTATGCATCCTATGAAGATGGAGGAGTTTGTTAAAGGAACAATATATAGAGATGGGGTTAATCCCATTTTTTTTCCCCCCTCCCCCTGGTTCTAGGGAGAGAGACCTGTGACAAACGTTTAAGTTAGCTGTTGCCCGGAACTCGCAATGTGTCAACCAGTAAACTCCTGAGTTCAAGCACTCCTTCGTTCTTCTTCATAGCTTTTTGGACCTGCCATTCCTCTTGGGGGTATGTTGATTCATAAATTGTTGAGTAGGTGCAGGCTAATGCACATCTTGATCTTGGCACTCCTCCAAGATTATAATGTCCACATCATCAGCTTGAAGTGATTCCAGAGTAAATGGAGTATCATTTGCCTCCAGAATTAGATGACCCTCTTATCCAACATTGTGTGGTGAAGGCTGAAGTAGTTAAGGATTCTCCTGAGGGGCAATTGTATTAATGGCAATATCCTCTCTAGTTGCATTTTCCACCATGACAGCAGGTGGAATAGATGGTTCTAGAGTAATGTGGTGAGCCGAATCAGTATCTAAATCAAGGTGCACCTGAGGGTCGGATCTCAAGTTGGGTAAAATTGAAATATCATCTGCTACACTATATTGGCAGTAGTGATACCCCTTTGATGATCATTAGACTTGAGAAGAGAAGGGTTCCAAGTAGATGCAATTGGGATAGGTTTAGGGGGAGGGGGACCTCAGAAGAGGCGTTGTTCTTTTTTTATTTTAAATAAGGATATAAGTGATAACAGTGAGAGTTAGAATGGCCAAACATTTGACAGTTGTAGCAATAAAAAGGAAATTGCTCAATAATTACCTTTTGTCAATAGCCTTGATGTTGCAAACCTATCCAAATTTCCTCGGGACTAAGTAAAGTAATTTCCCTTTCAACAAGCACTCTGGCTTTAGACGAACAAGAGAGAGTAAAAGTGGGCATATTCGTTTTGAGTGGCAAACCATAAACTGCTGCAATAGAGAACAACACTTTTTGGCTAAAAATATGGAATTTCAAACCAAGGAGACGAATCCAAACCGGAATAGTTGGTGGTACAGTTTGTGGGTCGAAATTCACAGTCCACTTCAAAATTTTCATCGTACGATTATCAATCCAAACTAATCTTCTAGCAAACAAGCGTGTGTAATCTTCAACATTGTTAAATTGAATAAACATGTGTTGCCCATCTATTAGACCAATTTTTCACTCCCCAACAAGGTGCATAAGCTCGAATTCCTTGTGAATAATCTCAAGCCTAGGATGACCGTAAAGAAATTTTCCGACCAAAGTTAAAAGACAAGAGGAAGCAAAAGTATTGCATTCGGATTCAGAAATATAGATAGCTGGCTTCCCATTTTTCTGACCGGCTAGGGCTACAACAATGATTTTATCCAAAGCCATCGCAAGGGAAGGGAGCAAAAATCGGGAACTAAACCAAACGCCATAGAAGCGCCGAGAGAGGAGAAGACCGTAGCAGAGTGGCGAGCGCCATCTTTCTTTTATATATATATATATATATATATATATA